GCTGCTGCAAAAGGCTATAGGGTATTATGGTCAATTCGTAGTTCTTTTCAGTATTTAGATGATGAAATGTTTGGATTACTACACCCGATTTATGTGCGACCACATTTAGAATACGGGATTCAAGCAGCGAGTCCTTGTTTCAAATATGAAGCAGATATGCTAGAAAGAGTCCAGCGACGAGCTACTAAGATGGTACACGGTCTATCTGGCCTATCTTATGAAGACAGACTGAGTCACCTTAACTTATTTCCGTTATCTTACCGTAGAGTACGGGGTGATCTAATATTGGCTTATCGTATACTGAACGATGACCTTGGTATTAACATGACTTATCTTTTGCTTCCGTCTAGAACCGATCATTTGAGAGGACATTCGAAGAAAGTTCAAAAACCGAGGTCAAACCGTTTACGTCTGGAGTTCCGTTTCTCGCACCGAGTAGTGAATTACTGGAATTCTCTACCGGAACACGTAATATCAGCACCGTCTGTTAATATATTCAAAACGAGATTGGACCTCCACAGTATTACAAACTGCAAGGATTAATATAGGTCGACAGACCTCCTATCCTTATTACTGAAGACTGACTGAATTATTAGCCAATCAGAAGACAGTATAAAGTGAAAATATATTATAAGTAAGTAATGAATTACAGTAGATATTCTTCTTTTACATGATTTAAAAACTTGTTAAGGTTTGATAAAGGTTCAGAGGTTCTGAATTCATAATGCATATGGTATAGGAACTCGTCCATAGGGTTAGGGTTGTAGCCTAGGGTTGGGGTTAAGGTTAGGGCTAGGGTAGGGGTTACGGTTAGGGTTTTAGCCTCTCAATAAACACCTCTTCTCTTAAATCCGATGTAAACCGATCGCATGTTAGCACCCTAACCCTATGGACGAGTTCCTATACCGTATGCATTATGAATTCAGAACCTCTGAACCTTTATCAAACCTTAACAAGTTTTTTAGTCATGTAAAAGAAGAATATCCACTGTAATTTATTAATTTCTTGTAATATATTTTTACTTTATACTGTCTTCTGATTGGCTAATAATTGAAATTACTCAGACGGTTCTCATTGGCTCGTCCCTAAATTAGAGTCTTGCCGTCCCAACATTCCGTCGACGACTTATTGATAAACGACTGTAAGAGAGTTTTGATAGTCCTGTTGGTTCTTTCCACCAAGCCGTTACCTTCTGGATGATATGCGGTAGTGTGTTTTTTTCGGATTCCCAATAATCGACATACCTGAGCGACGATATGACATTCAAAAGCTGAACCTTGGTCAGAATGGAGTGAAAGGGGAGCGCCGTACCGGTGTACCCAATGATCAATGAAAGCACGAGTGACTGTGAGGGCATCTTGTTGTGGTATAGGAACAGCTTCACACCATTTGCTGAAATAGTCTACCATAATTAAGATATAACGGTTTCCGTTCCTTGATGTGCTGAGTGGCCCCATAATATCGATGCCAACTCGCTGATGCGGACCTTCTGTCGTCATTGGAACTAAGGATGCACGAGGTATTTGTCGGGGTGACTTGATAGCATAGCACGTGCTACAATTTTTGCAGAATTCGGCAACGTCTTCATGGATGGATGGCCACCAAAACCTCTGGCAGATAGCATGTTCAGTCTTCCGTTTTCCTGAGTGCCCCAGTTCTCGGTGTACCTGCTCCATAATATTCTGAACCTGTACACGTGGTACTATCAATAGTGGCTGTTTTGATTCGCTGACTATAAATAACGTGTCTTCATACAATCTTAGACTGCTCCACTTGGCACACAGACGGCGCGTTGCCAAGGAATGAAGTTCAAAAGGCTATAGTTAATCTGAAACGAGGAAGGGCAGCTGGTCCAGATGGATTGGCTCCAGAGGTCTTTAAGGATGGTGGTCCAATTTTAGCGATTAGGTTGACTAATATTTTAGCTAAGATCTGGGAATTAGACTTTATCTCATCTGACTGGTCGCAATCACTTATCGTCCCAATATATAAGAAAGGGTCAAAATCATCCTGTGACAACCACAGAGGTATTAGTTTAACAAACATAGTATCTAAAATACTGGCCTCGATAATTATCAAACGCCTAACTAAGACTCGTGAACTACAAACTCGAGAGAACCAAGCTGGCTTTAGACCTGGTCGTGGCTGCATCGACCACATATTCACCATTCGTCAGGTTCTAGAACACAGGCATACCTATCGGCGTCCGACGATGGTGGTCTTTCTTGACTTAAGAACAGCGTTTGACTCTGTAGACCGCGAGACTCTGTGGCAGTGTCTGTCATTAAAAGGCGTACCTCAGAAGTACATAAACCTTGTGAAGGCTCTTTACTCGAACACTACTAGTCGAGTCAGAGCTTATGGCGAACTGTCATCTACTTTTGCAACCTCAAGTGGTGTCCGTCAAGGCTGTCCACTTTCTCCATTTTTGTTTAACTTCATCATAGACCTATTGATGGAAATAACTCTCTCGTCGACTGAATTCTCGGGTATTGATCTCCTTCCAGGAGGTCCACTTATCGACTTAGAATACGCAGATAACATAGTCCTGTTTGGTGAAGACGCAGAGTCTTCTGGTAGCACTAAGCAACAATGCCAGAATGTTTGGGATGCGCTTCTCTCCCTCTAAATGCAAGTTGTTGCTTCAGGACTGGTCTGCGTCAACACCTGAACTAAGGATAGGGAGTGAAGTGGTCGAACGCGTTGACAACTTCACTTATCTTGGAAGTCTGATCAGCCCTAATGGGTTGGTGTCTGACGAAATCTCGGCACGGATTCGAAAAGCTCGTTTGGCTTTTGCCAACTTACGTCACCTTTGGCGGAGGCGAGATATCCGTCTATCAATAAAAGGACGAGTATACTGCGCGGCAGTCCGTTCTGTTTTACTTTACGGCAGCGAGACATGGCCCTTAAGAGTAGAAGACACCCGTAAGCTACTAGTATTTGACCACAGATGCCTTAGAAATATTGCTGGCATCTGCTGCGATCACCGGGTAAGTAATAGTGAGGTTAGACACAGGGTATTAGGGAATGGTGGTAAATCAGTTGATGAGGTTATGAATCTTCATCGACTGAGATGGTTGGGCCACGTATTACGTATGCCTGAACACCGATTACCACGACGTGCAATGCTAACCGGTGTAGGGGATGGTTGGAAGAAAGTTAGGGGCGGCCAAACCAAAACGTGGCATCAGTGCCTGAAGTCACTAACTTCTAGTCTGAGCCATGTTGGTAGATGCAGACTACTTGGTTGGGGTCCGCGTGACTTTCGTAACCAATGGTTGGAGACTCTTGGTGACATGGCTCAGAATCGATCACAATGGCGTCGGTGTATACACTCCCTGTCTTCCCTTAAACTAAGAGATTAAAATCACTTCATATCTTTCTTTCTACGAACTAATTCTTTCTTCCTATACTATATCCTTATTTCAATCTTTCTCCTATATATTACCACCTTTGACCTAACCACTCCTATGAATCCGGTGTTCATCTTGCTGTGCTAATGAGGTATGGCAACCTGGACCGATGCACATATGTGCCTGGTCCTACGTTGTAGCTGACTGACTGACTGTCATAGATGGTTTATTATTGCCATGTAGTTGCCTCTGGTAAATAAATCGCAGATCAGGGTCTGCTGCTTGAAGCGACGACCAGTTGATATCGGGGGCTGTGCTAAGAACGGCATTAATAGTATCAGGAGAATAGGGTATACGAGATAGGGAATCGGCGTTTGTGTGTCGGCTTCCGGGTCGGTATTCGCAAGTAAAATCAAATTCCTGCAATCTCTCCTGCCAGCGCGCTACCTGACCTTCTGGTTCACGGAATGAACGAAGCCACTGTAGTGCACGTTGGTCTGTGCGTACACGAAAGGGTCGTCCTAAGAGATAGTGACGAAAATGTTGCAAAAATTTTACCAAAGCCAGCATCTCTCGGTGCGTCGTAGAATACCGTGTCTCTCTTTTATCTAGCCGCCGACTAGCGTACGCTATGACTCGTTCCATTCCGTCTTGTGCTATTTGAGACAAGACTGCTCCACTAGCTGATGAGCTAGCATCTGTATCAAGTATGAACTCACCCGCTTTAGCCGAAGTGTCCGGAAAAGCCGGTATGGGCGGAGCAGCAAGAACTGACTTCAAAGTCTTAAATGCGTGTTGGCAGTCTGTGGTCCACAAAAATTTTCGTCCTTCATGCGTCAGGCGATGTAAAGGTGCTGCCAGGGATGCGAAATCGCGTACGAAACGTCTGCAATAAGAAGCGAGCCCCAGGAAGCTGCGAACATCCTCGGCAGATTTCGGTTGTGGCCAGTTAATAATGGCGCTCGTTTTTGCCTTATCCGTTGCTATTCCATCTTCCGTAAGGCGATGCCCCAAAAAGAGTACATCTTTTTGTAAGAGTCGACATGTAGATGGTTTTACTCATTATTCCACAGGTTTAACTTGCGCAAGGCTTGTTTTTATTCTAGTACGTTCACTTTCTGTTGCCCTGAAACAAGGAAAACAAACTTGCATTAGTAAAGTCACACGTAATGGTTTTTGATACTGCTACAGCATCGCGTGTTGAACTTGGCTCCGTGACCTTGAAATTGGTCAAACGCTTCTGATTGGCTCGTCCCTAAATTAGAGTCTCGCCGGCGGCCAGACCAAAACATGGCACAAATCCATGAAGTCACTGACAAGTGGACTGAGTCATGTTAGTAGGTGTAGACTACCTGGTTGGGGACCGCGAGATGATAGCAACAGATGGTTAGAGACCCTGAATGACATGGCTCAAAATCGTTTGCAATGGCGCAGGTGCATACACTCTTTGTGTTCTCCCAAATTTTAATCTTCTGATTCCTCCTTGTCTCTTTTTTCGTTTCCCAAATTTATTTCACTGTATTATACTCTTTAAATAACATCTCCAAACCCTAATTTTCCCGATTACTGCTTATACTCTTATTACCTCTACCACTACGGGATTTGAATCGACCACTGCATCTCTGTGCTAATGTGGTGTGGCAACTCGAACTGATGTACGTACGTACGTTGTTACTGACTGACCTGTGTGGGGAGTTAGAATTATGATTTACAGTTGAGGATTAAGGTTAAAAATTAGATTTAGAGTTTTCATCACTAACTAACATCAGCTAAAATGCCAACACTATTTACCCAGATGGATGAGTGAATTTCGCGCCAAAATCCGTGACCTGTTATGTTATACATGATGGATTCGTCCATAAGTTATAGCCTCACCGATTAAGCGTAGGCTATCTACAACATGTCGCAAATTATACATACAACTTGGATAATTTCCTCCCAGAGCTGTCATTATTTGAGTAGAATTTATGTGTCTTAGAGGCATTCATCGAGACTACAAGCATGAGGTTTGAAATGTCGAAAAACATTGGAATGTAAACATGAGAAATACGGCACAAATAAATGGGTTCGTAAATTAAAAATTTAGAAATAGTACTATGTCGAAGATTTGGCAGGACGTAAGGACCAAATACCGCTTAGCCACAGTGACCGATTGTATTCCATATTATTCAACATCTGCGACCATTTATTACAAGTGTTGAACCGATCTGTACCAAAAAGTCTGCTTTTCAGAATGGTCATTGCGATTAATCTGGAATTTTATGGGCAAATCTCACATCTTGATTTTTCGTGCTAGTTTTTTACCAACATATATCACCCAAAGTTGCATATCGGTATAAGAAATACTTAGGAATGCGTAGTGTTCATCATAACCACCTCCATTGAAGGTTTTTAACCTCATAAATGTAATTTCACGTTTCGCCTGGTGCTGTGCATATATTACCTAAAGATTAACCACTCATTTATTGTAGTGTGAGCAATACTTAAGAGATACTTATGATGAAATACTCTCAGCCTACGCATATCTTCTACTTTTATAGCCCATTAAGACAACCGTGCAGTAATACAGTTGAGACTGCTGTACTGTACGCTTCCCTATTTGCTGGCATATGGTGTTACCTACGATAAATGAAAAAAATGAGCGGGAGGTGGTTACTTACCAGATGCCTTTATTCGGCCTTATAAGTTAAATTATTGGTGGTATTTTTTAGTCTCAGAAGTTTTGAATGGTTGAGTGATAATACTAAACTACATCATTTACAGTGTAACAGTAATGTCTGCCAGCATTAAAATAGTCTGAGGATGTTTCCTGATTCTGGTATATTGTTTTATTTGTGCAATAAATCTCAATAAGTAGTAGATATACGAGAAGTAGATTAAGAAAGTATAAAGAGCTGAGTCAATTATTAGTCATACGAAATCAAAATAGTAATTTTTCAACAAGAAATTTACAAGTTCGAAAGGGCCAAACATACTCAAATTCTACATAACCACATATATTTTACTTCCTCAGGTCTACATGTTTAAACTGTGACCCTACTATCATAAAGAATAACCTTTGAAGACAGTAATATTCTGCTGCGGAAAGTATTTTTCACCTTCTATTAGAGCTGATATTTTTTGGTTTAGTATAGATGTATACATAACAACCTTACCCTCATTTGATGTATTGTGACTTCAGTTATATGTAACCTGTTTGTGAATTGCTAGACATATTCTTTTGTAATCGAGTCGGAGAGAAAATCGATTGCAGTATGGTAACCGTGAGGCCATTTACTTGCTTAGACTTGTTGAAGTTTGGGAATATGTAAGTTTTTGCCTGATTATACTTTATTTTTGTTTTACGTGACCTTTAAATATGACTTTAGAGTACAGTAAAACCATTAATTGTTGTGCTTGACCTTTTGTGTGTTCGTCAACTCTTTGTTAGTTATTCTTGACTCTCACACTTATGGACACACCTGTAAGTCAGTTGTTTCGTCTGTATGGATAGTCATTAGTTTATTTTCTACTAATCTTAGTTACGATGTAGCCTGATAACCAAATTGTCAGCTCTTATTCCTCGTTTCTTAACCGTGACAGGGCGGTGAGTAGGACTTCCCTGGCAGTGACTGTATACATGTTGTGTGGGGGCATTTTAAAAAGAAGAGCGGACTCCGCATCCTAAGCCGTACCAGGGCATTTGGGAACAAAGTGTCTGGTACTGTAAGGGACGTCTACAAATTTCACTACAATAATGAGTGCTTCATCCTTCGATATTGCAGATTTTATCATTGGTTAGGAAAACCTATCTGTTAAAGTGATTACATCCTGTTTTGACTCACTGGTTATTTACGAATTTTGACACTAGTTTTGTGGAGTTCAAAACTTTAACTCACTTGGTGATGTAACGAACTGGTCAACACTTCTTGTGTCTGATACACGAAAGGATCTTTGAAATATATTTTAACAACAAAGAATTCGGTTAGAATAACGTAAGTGTCGAGTGATGTTGTACACCAAGCATGGCTAAACCTGATATTTCGGTTTACAAACATACGTTGATAGTATTTCCACGCAAAGATACGATGTTATCTGCGGAAACATTGACTCAGTGTTACGACTTCCGCAATAATATTTGTAAATTAGATTGGAATTACGTTAGACTCAAATTCCTGATGACGAAAACTTCCAGTTATTAGTGATAAATAAGTGTGGCAACTCGAACTGATGTACGTACGTACGAATTTCTACGTTGTTACTGACTGACTGACTGCTACAAATCAATTAAACCTCTTAACATATGCTGTAGCTTGATTTCGTTTTTCTGTTTCTTATTATTTTAGATGAGAGAGTATTATCTTATTAAGGCTAAATGATATCGAATAAAGTGGATAACGCTGCCTCTGACAGTAGTTTAATATACTTTGTTTTCAGCAGAAGTCATCAGAGAATCTAGAAATTCTGTGTCCTTTATAATATTAGGCTTTTTCTTTGAATATAAACCTACTACTAGTAAGATCAGTTATTGATGGAAAATACAACCTATGAAGTATTTAGCTGTTAAGATTCAGTTACTAGCTATTAAAATCTATGAGCCTTGATATTACTCTCCCATATGTAGCAGAAGTTTTAGAATTAGCATTGCTAATTAACTTGAGAAGCCAGTTTATTTTCTTCAAGGTCATTCCACACTGAGGGTTTGTTGTACTGTATTGGGCTTATGAGTGGTGTCATTTTGTTTCATTTTACCTAAATATGGAAACCGAACTTAGGTAGTCGTAAGCCATGTTCTAACTGTACTGTGTTTTTTTAAGAGTTACTGTAAGTAAGTTTATGCCTAAACTGTACAAGCACGAATATGGCTCCATTTTACGTTATAAATCGTTTTGTGTATACTACTTACTCAGTTTATTAAAATTATATTTGTACTACATATTCAACCATATTCTTTGCTTTTGTTTTAGTAATCTGGATATGTATACGGAAACTGTATCCTTTAGCATATTAGTTATATGTCTGCTGAATCTTGTGGAATTTGAGGTGTACGTGAAAGTATTTATATATTTGTCCAGCTAATATTATATCACTAGGAATAAGATACTATCGGAAATCTAACACTGGTTTGTATTCTATGAATACAGAGAAACAGCATTATTCATCAGATAACGTTTTCAACACACTTCACCGAGTATAAGTTAACTATACACCTTAAAATAATACTGATCGTTTATTTGCTTTTTAAAAGTAACGACTCAAACTTCTAATGAACAAGAATCCGAACTATTGGAATTATATGGTTTCCTTGAAATCATTGTTTATTAATTTGCATAGGAAACGTTAATAATACTGTTTCTATGTGTAATTTACATATTAGACAGTTCAACATGATTCAAACGGTTCCTCACACAAATTGAAAAAGTAAAAATATCAGTGTTTGGAAGACTCAGTAAACTCAGTGTAGTCTACTACTTCCTCCTTAACCATATCTAAGTTATTAAGTCATCTTGAAATTTTAACGTACTTAGAAATCAAGAAATTATTTGCCAATCAGAGGACAGTAGGTTTTTTGGAAGACACATTTGAAACCTAGTTTACATTGAAAAGTTAGTGGTGTTTATGGGCAGTTATAGTGTGTTAAAAAAACGACTTTTGTTACATAAAAGGATAAAGGTTTACTAAAATTACAATTAAAATAGAAAAATCTTTAAGTTGAACAATTGAAACTAATTTCTTCACTTAGCTCAATTACTATCAAAGCACTTGAACCGTAACCACTAACTATTTCTGAATGGACCTCTTAGTTGCTGTATTTTACACAATTATCATTAGAGTAAAACTATATTGTTTATTAACGATTTAGAATATGTACATCGTGTCTCTCGTGTGCTTCGTGTCCAGTAGGTGGCAAGCGAACGAACTAAAAAAATCTTGTTTTCCCTCTAAGTTGTATATTATTTAGAATACGCTCGATAGACCATTATGAAATTGTACTTTCTTTAACTTAGTGGTACTGTTACACTTCTAATGGCAATAACAGTATAGTATCGGATTTTATCTGCATTATTTGGCAAAATGGCCAGAGTATATGCGAGTCCTAGAATCACCCACACTAACCTGTTTTGAAAGAAATTCGATATGTCTTTCGGATATTCCACACACAGGTGATTCACAAAACCCATCTCCCAAGGTATTATCAATACCGTCTACGTGTCAACGACTTATGGGCTATATGATGGCGAAGTCAGAAGGTCATGGAGTGGATTGGCATGGTCATATCACAGCGCTGTCGGTGGCTCCTGAGTATCGTCGTTTGAGATTAGCTACTCAACTAATGCTAGAGTTAGAAGAAACTTCCGAACGGTAAGGACGTTTAGAAAATAAACTGGATCTCAAAATTGGTATGGTCCAAATATTTCTGAAAAAGCTATCGTTAATACCCTGGTTTTTTAAATAAATTACGTATACCTAAAGTTTACGGCTGTGAAGGATTTACTTGGTTATAAACTAAACGTCGCTACTAACCTGGTGTTTTATTAAGAAAACAGACTCCTTTGTTTAAGTTCTTTCTAGTTTCTTTTTATGTAACACAACAGTCTACTAATCAGTATACATTTAGAAACTTTTATGTTGTATAGGCGCGTGGTGTTAAAAGAAAAGATACAGTAGACTGAAGCATCGCATCTGATTTTATACACTAGATTACTATGTACTCAACATGGAAAAACTTATTTATTCTGACGGTCAAATTGCAGAGTTGATTGGTGGAATTCAGTCAACACTAAAAAATACATTACATGATGCCTGCTCTACGGTGATTGAACATTGGCCCCCAAATGCCCTAGTAAGGCCGAGAGTGGGGAGAGTCCGCCCTCCCTCTCGAAATGCTCTCACATGGCCACGCGTATATAGCCTCTGCCAGGGATATCCTACTCACTGCCTTCTTATGGCGGGAGTTGTTTACGAAATCGAGAGGACGAAAAGCGAATGTTCGGTGCTTTAACCGGGTTGGTGGATACAGAGGATTCACCTAGGGGAGTTGGAAAACCCTGGTTCTAAACCAATGGTGCACACAGGCTCCAGTACCCTGAGGGAACAAATGGCGTATGAACCAATCGTTGGTCACCGGCTACCATGGGACTGCATCTCCTTACATTGCTCCACTGCATTGTGGATCAGACCTTTAGATCGAAGGCTCCGGCTGTGGCCCCCAAGGAAAAACACCTGCTCCGGCTTAGGCACCCGGGTAGTATCACAGCCCTCACACAGATCAAATGAGATTTGTGTGGCGTATATGTATCTGGTACCTTCTTGTACCAATATTTATGTGCTCAAATAATATGATAAAAGGACTTCACGATCTAAGTGTACAGAGGACTAATCCATGGTTTTTCTAGCTACATTACGGAACATAATTGAAATCTTTTCATTACGATCGTGTTGCAACAATATGTTGAGAACAACTATCCACTTCATAAGTCATTGCCGTGAACCTATAATGACCACCCTAACAATTTCGTCTTGTCATTTAACAATTATTGGAAATTAAATTCTAGGTTGACTGTGTATTAATTTTGTTCAGTACATTTTAAATTTCTCAACCAAAGACATTAACACAGATTACATATAGAGTGGCCTAGTCGCCACAAAGTAACATTACTGTAGTTGTAAACTGAGACTGTCTTATGGATTCTGAACTCAAAATAAAACTTGTTAACTTGGCTTGTCCAACTAAAAATAACAGGAGAAATCTGCTTAGTTTTGATAAGTATGCGCTCCTAGTGGTTTCTCTTATATTCGTGAAGTCTAGTTTTTATTTAGATAAAAATTACCTCTGGTCAAGTCTGCGAGATAAAGTGGTTTTGTAACTAGCCTACTCCAAGGTTGTTCTCTTATGACGAGGATCCAACTTCTTACTCACAAGTTTGAAGGTTTTATTTATGTTTAAGGAACTATCTGACTCGATATCACACAGTAGAGTGTTGGCTTCCAACCTAGAAATCTAACTCTATGTATATAATGTGCTACCACTCAGACTTGCCACTACAGTGTGGTTTTACGAAATATAAAGATTATTGAGAAACTCCAAGTTTTCATTTAATATGCTGTTTTACGGTCACACTAAGCGAGTCGATTACTTTAAGACTCGGATAACAGTGATATCAAATAAAAAAACCTAGGAGAACAACTCCGCTTTGAAATTCAATCGCACTAAAGAATAAATATAGCTCCTAGAGTGCAGGGAAATAAATTTAGAAGAATAATACTCGAAACAGTTATTATAACGTCTAACAATCGCACTAGTGCAAAGATTCATAATAAATAAGCCATAGGGCTCATTCCTATAAGTTTTACGTCGCTATTAAACTGAATCTCCCAATTCTTCTCTTTCCTTTAGGAAACGATGTTACTTTGTTGATCTATTCGTACGTGCATCTAACAAACTGGGCATAGATATTTATAGTAAATTGGGATATATTATATACCGCAGAGTCTTAAATTACTACTGGGGTTCCGTTGAAGATGAAGATGCCTTCGGTAAGTGTCAAACTATTTATGATTCTTCATAAAGTTGTGTATATAAAGCGTCAGATGACTAGATAGTTAGCTCAAGTTATTCACATGTCGTTTATCAATGCGACAAGAATTCAACTAGTATTCCAAAATATAGTCATAGTACTAGATGAATTTTCTCAATTTTACCGCACAACTTGTTATTTACCTTAGAGGAGGTTATACATATAATCAAGTATCTTTGGATATGTTTTCGCTATAAGCAATTAAGGTTACAAGTCCATTTCTAAATAAAAATCCACACTTGTGTTTTACTTTTGATAACCAAAAGGCAAAGCATTATGGCGCTAGTTGAACATACCTTCGATCTGCACAGATCAAATTAATCAGTTATAAACATGTGTCGGCTCAGGTTCTTACACCTTGCATCAACACAACAAGAAAATAAGATGGGGAATAAAGCTGGGGAATTAATAATATCCATTGCAGTAAAAAATTTGTTTAAGAAATGATTGAGATGGGAGAAAAAGTGTGGAATAGAATTATGATAGGTTGTGTTACCATCTTGTCAAAAGTAGTTCCACTAGCGGCGGATCTTTAATCATGTCTTCAGCAACTAAAGTTTCCTAATCGCAATTTGAATAACTGAATGGATGTTCACAAAGCCATTCGAACATACAGGGGTATTATTTTAGCAAGAATAAGCGGTTAGAAATATATATGGGGCTAGTCTTTAGATGGCATAGCTCAGTGACAGGTACATCTAGTCTTTATCTTATATCAGATACCAAGTTCATCATCCCACAAATCCATATTTTCTCGCATCATATTTCTTAACTACCACCAATACCTACACTACTCAGAGATCTAATTATGCTGATGTGTTGTGGCAACTTGAACCGATGTAGATGTGCCGTGTCCTATGTTGTGTGACTGACTGACAAGTCTCATTTTTTAGATGTAAAACTGTTTGAAGACATACTAGACGCTTACAGATATGCACCTCAGAAATTCTGGAAAACTCGATGCTGTTTTGGTTTATGAAATAATTTCTGGGATAATCGGCAACTTCCTCACACTGTTAAAATTAAGATTTCAGGATTACTCAGCCAAGCACATATCAATTCGAATCTAGAGTTTTGCGCTTTTAATCGGTCTCAAATTTAGTGTGCCTGTCCAATAAGATTGGATTGTCCAACTCCTGAATGTTAAGTTTTTGAGTTACCCTTTCCAATAAATGTCCACTTTAAAGCAAATTATTAACCAACTTTACATAACTATTTGGTGTTTGTGAACATTCATTTAAGTTTGAGTAAGTTTTCGTTACTTATTTACATCATTTATATTTGTTCACTCATTTACTTCTGTACTATACTAAGTGGAACTATCAGTTCCATTATTTCTTACTTTGGGAAACAATGCAAATCTAATATTAAATATAACGTATACTACATACAATTCAAAAACAATGTTTTAAGTTATCTGCTCAATTTTCTTAGATATGAGAAAAGCACTTTCAGCGGATGTGCTTAAACGATCTGTCATACCAATGACGAGGCCGATACGTCCAGAAGAATTAGAACATCCATGAACATACAGATGAAGACTTGTTTATTGGTTCTACAGTGTGGTTCTATATGTAACATTATTCAGTGGATCCAAGTACTTGTACATGTATCTTTTGTAACAATGATATCTTTTCACTTCAACTGAAGTTTTGAGGGTCTGCAAAATGACAAGATTGCGCTAGTAGATAACAGGACGTTACGCACAATATAAGGAAAACGAGAAATGCTAATAAGTTGTTTATTAGAAAAAAACTGGTCGCAAAATTAGTTCATAAATGAAAAAAACGCTATATTCTTCACGTGGGCCTTTCGGATTTCGTCCTACTGAAATTAAGAGAAGGTCATTATATATTCATACGGATATTTTCAGAGAAAATTTAAGACAATAATCAACATTGGTCACAGTTTACTAAGATTTGTCAAAATCACCTAACGTAGTATTTCTTTGTTAGTACGGTAATTATTGTGAACCTTTATCACTCTTTCTTTACACAAATTAAGAATGACAATATAAGACATATATATTTATATATCTTAACAGAAATTCAGGATGAGAGTCTACACGACGTATTACCGGCACGTCTAAGGGACAACAATGAGTTTGTTTGCTTCGAGACCAGTCTTCACTGTATGGAATTGTAATTCCCAAATAATGCCTCAGTGACCATATAACATTTCACCTATGTGAAGTTCGGTCAGTAGTGTCTACTTTGGCAAACGCCAAACTCTCCATTCAAATCTCCTAAAACTTCTTGAATCCGTCCATAGCCTGTCACATGATTCATCAGATAAGTAATTTACTCATCCAAAGTCAAGTATATGAATACAAATGCCCAAAAATAGTAAGCATTTGTTGCTAGCGTCACATATTTATATCAAAACTGTTTGCTTACTGAATGTAATTCTGCACAATAGTATATTCAAAATGCATAAGATTGTTGATATGTGTAAAGTCTTGCAACATTAATAATTGACCAATCCAACTACAAAACAAACAAACAAAGTTATCAGAATAACGTAGAAAACCTTTCCGTAATGTGATATTCTTAACCTGTAAGAACAATCAATTTAATTGCCGATCCGCTACAGAAACTTACACTTTACTCAATCTAAGGTTGTCTCATATGGAATATTGATTGCCAACACTAACACACTGTGCAAAAAGCGGGGTCATGGTCGGTTTATGATATGATACCGTGAAGTGAAGAAGTTTTTTCCTTCATCACAGCATACTGGTATGTCTCCTAAAGATCACAGGGTTCGTACGTCAGGATGCTATTTTTTTAATCCAGAGGCATCCCTAAGGAATTCCTCATAAAATACAAACGTTCTTGGTTAAAAAAAACCTATCTAGGTAATGTTTTGAGTTGGTGCTATTATACAGTCTGTGGTTCAGAACTCAGATCGGATTTATAAGTAGGAATGATAATACGCCGTCTAAATGACCCAATAATATTTGATTCCCTACAACTTTGCAGTTATGTTATATGCTTCCCATACACACTTCAGTTTCAGTTTGACCAGTAACTCAGAGCAAAGTACTTGACTAACTTAAATATAAACTGATCAAGAAGTCTTTTTGGTTTGTATCAAGTTCTAAATATATCATTATACAGTATCCCTTATTACATAATTAATTTATACTTCTCCAACCTGTCATGATTTCATTTCCATTGAAGATCTTGTAAGTGCCCAACTGTACCAAGTTTCTCGCCGTTTTAAGGACACTGTAGTAACAGTCAAAGTAAATAGGACAGGAAAATAACCTGGGAAACTAAGTTGTCATCATTTTGCCAGATCTTAATAAACAAAATATAAACTTGGTCGTCAACATGAGCAAATAATTAGCTTCTAAAGAATATGGTAAGTAGTTTGTCGTTAAATTTGAATTCAAGGAGTAAGTTACCAGTATTCGATCATAGGTGTCTTCGTGGCATCACTTGGTTATTTTTGAACCATTGAGTAAGTAATGCTTATGTTTGGGTTAGGAATAGGTAATTAAGTAAACATGGCAAGTCAAGCGGTGAGTGGGTAAGTATTCAACGGAAGTGGTTGTAAGATGTATGTTCAACCACCACTAACCTTGACGAGCGATGTCTGGTGTAAGAGTAGGTTGGAAGAGAGCTATGGATAGCTAAACCAAGACCATGAGGCTATTGACAATTGGACTGAGCCATCTAGGTTGGTAAGAACCATCTGGCTGGGGTCCGCATAATTATCTTAACCAGCGGTTGTAGACTTTGGATGGCATGGCTTAAGTCATTCGTGATGGCGCAGGAACATCCACTATTTATCTCCCCTTAGATCTTAAGTTTCTAAATTCCTCATGATTTTTTTTATTACACTGATCGATGTTTCCTTAAATCGCATCGTGGATGCATTATCTTCTCCATTACATTTAGCACTTAGTACCTTTACCTCTAGGGTTCGCGTTAACAATTTCATCTACGTTGATTGGATATGACAACTTGAACCGGTGTACACGCGTACCAGATTCTACGTTGCGTTTGGATGGCTCAGTTGCCTGTGTAATTTCTGTACTTTTGGAAAGTGTGACAACTTAGACAAATGCATTCACGCATCCCTATGTTGTCTTTGTTGTGAACCAATATTTGGCCAACCAACAATTATACTAAAACGGGGCCTGGAAATTAGGAAAGCCAACTAGTTCATTTATAGCATAGTCTAATTTGTAATATTTGGTAAGACATTCTGTTCCATTTGTAACCTCTTTATGCTAGAACACTATTGTGTTGTGTCCCTTTCATTCATAAACAACACTGAACCTGGCATACATTTGCATTATTTTATGTTCCTACACCACGTCAGTGTAGCGAGACAACATCACTAATACAAATCTTAAAATAGTAACAGTAAAAAATATTAGAGGTAGACAATATGGATCGAGAACGTAAAGGCAAGATGTTATAAAATGGTATAGCGACTTGAACCAATGTGCATATATGTCAAGTTCTATGTTGCATATGACTAACTGAAGTCACAGAACGAAAAATCTAAGCGACAACAAAGAGTGAATATGTCTGTGCCAATGCGAAAGTTTTTGAACCATTTTGCTTAGTGAACGATTTCACCAAAAAGATATTGTGCAAGATCTTTATGTCGAATGTAACTCTTAACTTCGATGTGAACGCGATTCATGTCATTAAGCACCTATAGACCATGTATCAAAATGAATTATTACGATTTCCAAACTTAAATGCGGCAATGCATATATATATATATATATATATATATATATATATATATATATATATATATATACCACCCAAAGATCTCATTCAAAACATACTAACCAACGAAACGTGTAGTGGTCTTAGAGTTATTCGAATTTTCTAAGCACAAGGATTGTATTGGGTTACTGAACTACAGGTTAACATGCAGAACTACTGCACGATGTGCTAAGTCAAAACGTTTTCTAAAGACTAAGCGTACAAACTTTTGCCCTTTGATCCTTTCGAAAATGACTGTGCACTGTTTGTCTAAAAAAATTAGGTCTGGGAAACTGTTTTCGAAAACATTGGTATTAAATTAAAACCTACCTATCAGTGAACCGCGGAAATATTGGTGTTATCGCATACTGAACAATTAGGAACCAGATCATCCCGAAAATTCCACCTATTATGATCCCAACTAAAACTTGAGTAGAAGTATGATACAATAAATAAACCCTTGAAATAATTAAAAACTCTAGGTACCTGCTATAGCAAACTACTGCAGTAACTGATGCACAGACTAAGTAAACAAATGTTGTGAACTGGCGACTGAAGGATCGCTGATTGAGCCTAAATAATCGAATAAGCAAAGGCTTCACTAACCTTATGAATAGGAAAAATCCAATGTAAACACAGAAAAAGCCCATGAATTGCGCGTGGTTTGAAGGCATACCTGATGACTTAATACCTAGGTGAACTGTATGTATAAAGATTTGTCAACATTATTTATGAACAAACTGGTTGGGAAAGGCCTTGGCTGCTTAATGATGTATTTGAGAATATAATTACTCAACTCATTGATCAGGCAACCACAAAAATAAAATATCTTGAAATCTAGTTGCGAATTATACAACTGATAATACCGTATGCAAATCTCTTCTCGACATTATAAGGGTTATGATGCTGAAAATTATAAATATTGGCACCATACTGGAATACGCCAGTAGCTTTCCGAAAGCATCAGCTTGAAGTACGTACGAAAACAAATATCTTCTTACCTTCAGGATATTCTACGTAAAAAAGACTCAGAGGCTTCCAGGAACGCTCAGTAGCCATGTAAAAGAATTTACTGACATACGATGGTAGCTTCTCAATCAAATTGCTGTAGCTCGAAGTTCAATTCAAATGGTTGTGGACGGAATAGAAGAAGCTTTCGCTTAACAGGCTTCCGTGTCTAGTAGCAGGGGATCACCAAATCCTCCAGGCAGGAACCTAGGTATGTTAACAATAAAAGAGGAAAAGAAATTGGTAAATCATAGTGCGATGCTGTCCTTGGTCCTTAAGAATAGGTCAAGTTGCCTCTTGAAGGACTCCTGAGAAGTCGCTTGGACTAGCTCGGCCGGCAGCGAGTTCCAGCTTTTGACAACTCTTAAGGAGTAGAAGTTGTGTCTACATTCCGTCTTGCTATGTTGTGTTTCCAGTTTCTGGGTGTTACCCCTTAGGTTATTGTTCGAACTAAGCTTAAGTAGGTGTTTAAGAGGATGTCCAGAAGTGTTAAGAATACTATAAGCCATTAATAAATCACCTCTAAGACGCCTATATTCTAGTGGGTAAAGGTCTAGTGAACGGAGGCGTTCTTCGTAAGGCTTAGATTTGAGTCCTCGAACTGATTTCGTGGCTCGCCGTTGGATACGCTCCAAAGTGACCTTATCCTTTTGGAGTGAGGGGGGGAGTATTATGTTTCCGTACTCTAAATGGGGACGGATGAAACTATTGAAGATTGTGTGGAAAGTTCTTCCGTCAAACTGACCAAAAATGCGCCTCAACGTTACCAGTGCAAGGTTTGCTCGGAAGGCATTTTTGTCACAGTTAGCGTAAGACTTTAAGTCATGGGGCACCAGGACTCCTAAATCTTTTTCGACTTGGGATACTACTAGAGAGGAGTTTCCTAAGTTGTAACTGTAGTTTGCGACATGTCGCAGATGGACTACTTTACACTTTGAAGTGTTAAAGGTAAGTCCGTTATCATCTGCCCAACTATGAAGTCGAGTCAGATCCTCTTGAAGTGCCTGTATATCGTCTTGGTTGCGTACCTCTCTCCAAAGTTTCACGTCGTCGGCAAAAAGTAATAAGTCTGACGTTACCTGTTGAGGAAGATCATTTATGTAGATCAAGAAGAGAAGAGGCCCGGTAACTATTTGACGGCTATTATCAGTTTCAGTTTGAAGAGGACAGAAGGTTGGGTGGCCTATGTTAATCTCTCGGTTGATTCAACTTCCTTTTGAAAACGTCAACAGGTGAAGCTTTAGACACATCTTGAAGTAAGGAATTCCGTCCGTTGGTGGTCCGATGGGAAATTTGGTACTCAGCTGACAAGTAATTTTTCTTGATCCTGTGAACTGGTTTAGAGTATCCTCGTTAGTCCTCTGCTTTGTAGGACTAAAAACATTGTGGCATATCATATGCAAATTTATTACGAAGTAATTTAAACACTTTAACTCCGCCTGTAGTTCTTCTAGGGCTGATGCCAGTCCCGAGCCCGGGTGTAGCAGGAGGATTGACATGGAGCCGACAACTTCATCTCGTAGAAGAAAATCTTGCTAGAAAATGCTAACCAGAACAAACAATTTAAACCAATTAGAATCTGCCCTGAGATTGGAGGAAGATATATGACACCTCAGGATTAAAGCCGAGATTCTTTGGAAGTCTTGAGGCTGATGATCCTTTTAATGACCAAAGGAACGATTATTATAGACACATTGGATGTCTGGAAAAAGTGCGAGACCGGAAGGACCCGCTGAATAGCTACGAGAATGAGGAGATACGATTTGACAATACACATTTGGCGCGCTAATTAAAAAGGACAGTGGTGTTTTTTCCTCGCTGAGTATATTTTGTTTTGATCGTTTAATGCGTATCAAGACTACTGTTTTCACTTCAATTGAATTTCTTTCAGCTGAAGTATTCGACTAGAGTATCGTTTACTGTTTCTGAATTAGTTTATCCTCAGTACTCTTGAGCACCTTATTTTCTACTGTATCTGTTAGTACTTTTAGATCTAACGATCTACAGTTCTCCACTTTTTTGGTCATAGACCTTTTTTGTCTCTGAGCATTATTGCATCTCGCTGTTTTTCTGAAAAAGACCCCTTTTAATGACCGGACAGTGCAATAAAAGCAGTTGCCAACTTCCAATTTGTCGTTATCCCGTTGAAAGCGGCATGCAGTGCGATTAGTGCGAAGGCTGGTACCACGAAATTTGCTCGGATTTAACGCCTGCGGCTTTCAAAAGGGTTCAGTAAAAAGGGTTCGTTTGGCTTTGCGAACAGTGCTGTTTGAATGAAAGCAGCTTGTTGACCGAGGCCATCGCACTGCTAGATGCTGCGAAAAGGTGTTATAGCAAGCGTAGTCGGGACACATCAAACAGCACTCGCTCTGTCGACACGCAAATTGATATGAAGTAAACTCAGGTGAGTTCGAAGATAGGTGACTCACACCGATCAAAGAAGGAAAAACAGTCTCCAAAGAGGTCTGTCTTAAACAAAAACTCAAGAAAAGTAGGTTCTTCCATTCCCCGTCTTCCAAATGGCATCCAGCAGGAAATGCCTAGAAGCCACAATCGCTAGGCTCGATCGGTTTCTAGCGAGAAACATAACCTGACCTCCCAGGTCGTCGACAACCCTCCGGAATCCAACAGTAGGTTTAACGCAACTGTTGTTGCTTCTCATAGCACCGTTGACGAATGGGTATAGGTTGTAAGGAAGAAACAACGTAGCGATATAAAAGGGAATCCTGCCCCCGTAAAAGTTGTCAAAAAATCAAAAGCTGATCACAGCGACAGATCAGTTATTTTTCATAGAATTGAGGATAGTGAGAGCTCTGAACCAAAAGCTCGCTTTGAGCATGACATTAGGTTATACGCTGGCGAAAAGGACCTAAAAATTGTAAATTTTCGAGTTGTAAGGCTTCGACAGAGAATGATCCTGAAGCCACTCTGGGTGAAGCACGAAGCCACTTAAATAGGCTTCGGATCAGCTACACTAATTCCCGGAGCTTACTTAATAAGCGATCGGAACTAGGTGTACAGATTGACTCTACAAAGCCAGACATAATCGCAGTTAAAGAAACCTGGCTGACACAGGCTATAGATAGTATGGAACTTGATTTCGAGGGTTTTACGTTAGTCAGGGCCGACAAAATACAAAGGCGTAAAAGAGGGGGAGTAGCTCTATTCATTAGGAATGCTGTCCCATTTGCCATTATCCACAGTGTATCCCATGAGAGTGGGACGTGTGAACTAGTTAGTCTCCGCTTGAAATGCAGGGGACAAGAGCTGCTGATGGGTTTGGTCTATCGTAGTCCAAGCTGTGAGGTAGATGAAGTCCTGCTGAGCAGTTTCAATACTTGGTCACAAAGTGGTCGATGTCTAATCCTTGGGGACTTTAATGCACCTATGGTAGACTGGGAAAATCTGCGAACTGAATCGTCAGAAAATTCCTTCGATCAGGAACTAGTTGATGCGGTTATCATATGTGCTCTTGTACAACATGTGAAAGAAGCGACTTGGTACGACCCGGACACTGAATCATCCTTACTAGACCTGATACTCACTCACTATGAGGATGAAGTGTCGAACCTTCATTATATGCCACCCCTAGGTAAAAGTGATCACGCAGTTTTAATTTTCGACTTGCATATAACTGTCAGTCACGAGCACGCGTCAGCCCAATCCAGACCTAACGTCTGGAAAGCAAATATACCGGATACCATGCACTCAGCATCGTTAGTAGATTGGACAACAGACCTAGAGCCCTCAGTTGAAACGGCCTACTACGCATTTCGAAATTCATACTTAAAAGTTACCACACCCCACATCCCTCGGACTATACCAAGGGGACCGAGAAACTCCCCAACATGGTTCAGTAGGGAGGTCCGCATCCTTCTCCGTAAGAGAGGAAAAATGTTGGATATATTTAGGTTACTGGGGACTGACGAAACTAAGTCCCAGTATAGAAAATTACGGAATACCTGTGCCTCGACCCTCCGTAAGTCTAGAAAGTTGTACGAAGAAAAGATTGTTAAGGAATCCATAGAATGTCCTAAACGTTTGTATTCTTATATAAACCAAAGGACAAAGAGAAGAGGAAATATTCCTGCTCTATGGGGAGACAGTTCTGCTGCGTCACTAGTGGAGGACGACTTTGGTAAGGCTCAAGTGTTCTCAAACTACTTTAGCAATGTATACATCATAGAAGCACCATTCCCATCAGCGCACACAGATCCCCCCACACATACACTGGATAGCGTGACCATTAAAGAACTCGATGTCTTTGGTCTACTAAATAAGCTTGACATAGGTAAATCCACGGGGCCCGACGAATTACATCCTAGGCTACTGAAGGAATTATCTAACTTCGTTGCGAACCCTTTAGCTATTAGCTTTTACCTATCCGTAACCCAGGGTTGTTTACCGAAAGACTGGAAAAACGCCATAGTAAGTCCTGTCTTCAAAACAGGTACGAAACACAAACCTGAGAATTACCGCCCTGTTAGCCTAACTAGTGTGGTTGTTAAAATCTTAGAAAAGATTATTCAGAAGGAGCTGTTTAAGTATCTCGATAAAAACCGGATTTTTCGGAGAAGCAGCATGATTTCAGAATAAATTACTCTTGTATCACTAACTTATTGGTGGCTCGTGAAGGCTGGTACTTTCTCAAGGACCAGGAGTTACCTGTAGACGTAGCCTTCCTTGATTTCAGCAAAGCTTTTGACAACGTCCCACACAACCGGCTGTTATACAAAAGACAGTGAGCTTCTGGAAAAGTTTCACAGAACGGCAACTAAGCTGATTCCCGGAATAGCGAAGCTTCCGTATGAAGTTCGACTGGCCAAGCTAAACCTTTTCCCGTTGTCATATTGTAGAACTAGAGACGACTTGACTTCAGTTTTCAAATTGCTTAGTGTCAAATGAGAGACCACCATTGCCAGGACTAACACAGGCCATAAGGCCTCCTGCCCTTCCCAAACTGAGGGAATCACAAGGAATGTCATCCAATGTTATGCACCTACCATAGGTGGAAAGATGACAATAAACATCAGTTCTACTTGAAGCTGCAA